GTTTTGCGGTCTCTAGTGCAGAGAATTTAGGTGACGGTCAATTTTCTGGGTGGGACAGTGTGTTAGGCCAGATTGACTAGAGAAACAAATCGGTGACACTCATATATGTGTAAGAAAGAACTTTATATCAAGAACTAATTGCCCAGAAAACATCCCAGCCCAGTCCATCACTCAGATACTAGTCCATAAGTCCCTCTTCCGAGTCCCACATGCAATGATGCAAAAATGCAGGAAGATCACAGGCTGGTGGGTGCCGAGTTGTGTGCATCCAATGATGGTGGAAGCATCTCCAGGCCTGGTGCAGGCTTCCGCATGACTTCCTGGCATGAAGGTGAAGGCAGAGAGAGAGGGGAATTTCCTAGGACCCTCCTTATGAGAAGGCCATGCCCATCAGGAGCTACCATCGGGCGGTGACCTGATTGACAGACTAGACGCCACCCCTCCACTTTTATATCTTCAAATTGACTCGAAATTATGTAACTACCACAGACCCTTAGGGGCATACTTTAGAGAGCTGTTCCCTGGAGATCCAGGTGGGTTCAAGAGGATGTGAGTTTTAAGAGGGTGTGGAAGGTGCCAGTCACAAGATCTGAACGATAGTGAGAAGCTGTCTGGGATGCGATGGGAATACTGGAGTGGGAGAGTGGACTGCAATTGGAAAAGGATGGTCTGAGATGTCCTCAAGGACAAGGTGATGTTTTAGTGAACACTTTAAGAAGGGAGAAAGTTCAACCAACAGCGGAATGATGTTCAAAGGGAGGGCACACCCGAGGTGGGGAGCACACCCAGTGTGTTTCGTGAAGAACAAGACCAGTGGAGATGGGGCGTGGTGACAGAGAGGGGGGAGAAGCCGCGGCAGCGCAGGTCAGAGGGTGCTGGGGCTCAGAGCCTACAGGGTTTTGTAAGACGAGATTCTTCAAGGACTTGGACTTGCTCTTGTGCAACACTTGGAAGAATTTTAGCAGAGGCATGACATACATGACTGACATTTGTTTGGGTTGCTCTGACTGTCAGCTTAACCACAGACTGAGGGCAAGGGCATTGGAGGCCTTGGCAATAATCCAGGTGAGATATCCTGACTGTTGAGTGATAGCAGGATGGAAAAGGGAGTGTTCAGATTCTGGATTTCTGGGAAGGTAGAGATGATGGGATTGGCCAATGGACCAGATGAAGGTATGAGAGACCGAGAAGACCAAGATGAGTGTCAGGTCTGGGACCAAAGGAACTAGAAAGATGAATTACCATCACTTATATGAAAAATAAAGGGCGCCCTGGTGGCACAGTGGGTTATGTGTTGGCCTGCTAACCTCAAGGTCAGCAGTTCAAAACCACTAGCCACTCCTTGGGAGAAAGATGAAACTCTCTACTTCTATAAAGAGTTACAGTCTCGAAAACCCACAGGGGCAGTTCTACTCTATCATTTGGGTCATTGTGAGTTATAATTGACTTGATAACAGTGAGCGTGGGTGGAAAATAAGAATCTCTGATGGCACCGTGGATTAGGAATTGGGATGCTAACTTCAAGATCAGTGGTTCAAAGCCACTAACTGTACCTTAGGAGAAAGATGAGGCTTACAATTTCAGAAACCCTACATATAACTGCTATGAGTCAGAATTGGCATGGTGGCAGGGAATTTGGTTTTGACTTAAGGTGGAAAATACATGTGTGGATCAAATTGTGAGAAGAGTTTGGTTTGGGATGTGTTATTTGTGATGTTGATTAGAGACCTTAGCAGAGATGCCAGGTGGACAGGTATATGGACACTATGATTATTCATGCATAAGTCTAAAAGTGACTGCAAATAATGTAATTAGTATCATTGAACTCTACATGTCAAAACTTGTGATTTGGTGAGTGTTGTGCTCTCTCTATATATATTTAAAATCAATGAAAAAATTTTGTTAAGGGCAGAATAAAATATGTATATATACACTATCATCTCATTGTGTGAAAATTGCAATTATATTAAAAAGTCCAAATGCATTGCTATCAAGCTGATTCCGACTCACAGCAATCCTATGGACAGAGTAGAACTGGCCATGTGGGTTTCAGAGTCTATCAATCTTTAGGGGAGTAAAAAGCTTCGTCTTTCTCCCGATAAACGACTGGTGGTTTCGAACTGCTCACCATGTGGCCATCAAGCCAACTCATAACCCCCTACACCACCAGGGCTTCCTACAAAAATCTCTTGTTAAAGAAAGAAAAAGAATGATAGGAGCACCCAAATGCTAATAGGCATTCCCTTTGAGTGATCAGCTCTATGCCTCTTGACTTCTTCGCTCCTTCTTTTTTGGTATTCTCTAAAAGTTCTCAAAAGGGCTTATCATCTATTTAGGACGGGGGAAAGAATGCCTTTCAAAGTAAGCATTTGTGAAGGTCAGAGTGAGAAGCTGTCTGGGATGCGATGGGAATACTGGAGGGGGAGAGTGGACTGCAATTGGAAAATGGTGGGCTGAGATGTCCTCATGGCAAGGTGATGTTTTAGTCAACACTTTAAGAAGGGAGAAAGTTTAACCAACGGCCGAATGAAGTTTAGTAAAGAGATAAGGCCAACCACAAGGAAAAGTAAAATAAATAAGTAAATAAATTGCTATTGTTTGCCCTCTATGCCCAGGACCAGGAAATTGCCAGACATAGCTGGGACTCCTTGGCAAATCCCACCCCTAGCCCTTCAGATGGGAGGGGATTCCCGGAGGGCACCTCGAATAAACCAGGCCTGCGCGACAGCGGAGGAAGGATTGGAGAGCAGGCTTTCATTTGATCCTCCCACCCTGGAAGGTCTCTGGAGGATGACAGAGACTGTGAAGGATGGCCCAGTCTCCGCTCCAGTTCTTGATGGCTCACGTAGTGGGAGGACCAGACCCCAGGCCACCAAGCTGGTGGGAAGTAGAGCCCTGGTGGCACAGTGGTTACACCTTGGGTTGCTAATCACAGGGTCAGCAGTTCTAAACCACCAGTTGCTCATGGGAGAAAGATGAGGCTCTCTACTCCCATAAAGAGTATGGAGCAGTGCTACTCTGCCCTGTAGCCTCACCATGAGTTGGAATTGACTCGATGGCATGAGTTTTGAGTTTCAGTCACCTCATGCCCACTGCCGTTTCCTTCACGACCTCACCTTGCGAGCATCAGAAAGAGGCTAGAGGCCATGCTCCTTACCTTAGGGCCATGAACGCAAGGTCAGCAGTTGGAGGCCACTAGCCTCTGATGGAGAGAGAAGGAGTTTTCGACTCCAGTAAAGAGTTCCAGTCTCTGAAACCCAGGCAGGGCTGTTGTACCCTGGCTTGTAGTCGGCATCCTACTGGTCGACCTGGCCTCCGAGGCTGTGAGCTTGGTTTCTGGTTTGAAGTCCCCAGGGATTGCTCTGATTCCGGGGACTGGGTAAACAGCAGACATGAGTGGATCATGGTGTGTGAGGATGTTCACAGGCCGCTGTGCTTTCTCCCATCCCAAATAAGCAATCGGGCGTCTAATGAGCACACCCCCCCACCCCAAACGGAAAGGAAGAGCCCGGAGCCATGGGTTTTTCCACAGCAAGGGGGTGCGAGTAGAAGCCTGTCGGCAGGCTGGGCAGGCCTTCGTGCTATGACCTTTCCGCTAAAGCTCTGTTTACTTTCAGAGAGCTCAGGAAGGGCCTACAGACGCTGCTTGGCTCAGGGTGCTTGGCAGACAAGGGAGAACACCACACGTGTTTGGCAGGATGACTCGGAATGCGACGAGAGCCACAGCTTCAGGAAGAATGTGAGTCTTCTCTGCCTGGTCATGAGGTACTGGGATCCCAAGCTACCCTCCGTCACTATTGGCCTTGGGGCCAGACCAAGAACCTGCCATCAGTGGGACTGCCTCCAGTTCTGCTCAGAACAGTCCAGGGTCACACAGAACTCCAACCCTTGTGTTAGGCCCCTGGGTTGGCTCAATGAAACCAAATTAAACAAACAACCAACCAGTTGTCATGATGTCAACACTGACTCATGACAGCCTCAAATGCTTCAGGGTAGAACAGTGCCCCCCAACTGCACCCTGCCCTCCACCCCCCACCCCCACCCCCGTTGGACTTTCAAGGAAGCAGATTGTTAACGCCTTTCTCCTGAGACATCTCAGGGTGATTTAGAACTACCAACACCTTGTGCTTGTCACCAAACACTTAACTCTTTACACCACCCAGGGACTCAAAGAAAAAAAAAACCCAAACCCCAAACTCATTGCCACCAAGTCAATTCTGACGTATAGCCACCCCAGTAGGACAGAGTAAAAGTGCCCCTGTGGATTTCAGATGGTAAATTCCTATGAGAGTAGAAAGCCTCATCTTTCTCCCAGAGAGTGGCTGATAGGTTCAAACTACTGACCTGTGTAATCCATTACATCACCACCAGGGCTACTTATATAACCATACAGTACACATAAAATATACAGTGAACCCTCGTTTATCGCGGTTAATCGGTTGTAGACCCTACCGTGATAAATGAAATTCCGCGAAGTAGGATTCCTTATTTGTAAATCAAATATTTTTGTAGTTAGAGCATAGAGGACCTGAAAAAACACCCTTTAGTCACCATTACACTCGTATTACCCAATTTATTAAACGAAAAAGGGAAAATACAGTAAAACATTTTGGACGTTACAATTATCATTTATTATTTATTATATTATTTATGGCATCAAGCGTGTACAGTATGAGCCAATCAGTGGCAGTAATGACAGAGCATGCGCTGTTACGCAAAAACTGTGATAGAGTGAAGCCGCAGAAGTCGAAGCGCGAAGTGGCGAGGGTTCACTGTATATGTCGTGATAGTAATTATAAATGCCTATGTTTCTGGCTTATGGATATACTATAGCGTACTTTTAATTTTATTTTAATGCCACCTATCTTTCTTAAAATAGCTTTATTGGGACACAATCTACATATCATACAGTTAGGTAGTTTAACCATACCAAGAAGAATTGTACAATCATTGCCAAAATCAATTTTAGAACTTTTTCTGCTTTCTTGTACTCTGCTAGCAACTCCTTATTTCCCACCAAACTCTCCTGCCATACTCCCAAGAAACCACTAATCCAGTTACTGTCCCTATAGATTCATTCATCCTGGATTTCATATCCTGAAAAACATACGAAAAACGGATGATGCCTGGCTATCAAAAGATATAGTGTCTGGGGTCTGAAAGGCTTGAAGCTAAACAAGTGGCCATCTAGCAGAGAAGCAACAAAATCCATATGGGAGAAGCACACCAACTTGTGTGATCATGGGGTGTTGATGGGATTGGGTATCAGGCATCAAAGACTTGGAACAAAAAAATCATATCATTGTGAATGAGGGGGAGTGTGGAATGGAGACTCAAAGCCCATCTCTAGGCAATTGGACATCCCCTTACAGAAGGGTCACGTTGAGGAGACGACCCAGTCAGGATGTAGTATAGCACTGATGAAACATACAACTTTCCTCTAGTTCTTTAATGCTTCCCCCGCCCCCAACTATCATGACCCCAATTCAACCTTACAAATCTGGCTAGACCAGATCATGTACATGGGTACAGATAAGAGCTGGAAACACAGGGAATCTGGGATAGATAAACCCTTTGGGACCAATATTGAGAGTGGTGGTATGAGGAGGGTAAGGGTAAGGTGGAGGGAGAAAGGGGGAACTGATCACAATGATCTACATACAACCCTCTCGCTGGGGGATGGACAACACAAAAGTGGGTGAAGGGAGACATTGGTCAGTGTAAGACATGATAAAATAATAATAATGTATAAATTATCAAGGGTTCATGAGGGAGGAAGGAGAAAAATGAAAAGCTGATACCAAGGGTTCAAGTAGAAAGAAAATGTTTTGAAAATGATGATGGGGCCAGGGCATGGCACCCCATCAGACTCAACAGGAAAACACTCCTAATGGTTTTAACATGTAGACTTGGAACTACTTACAGACTTTCTCTTTTTATGTCGTCATTGTTATTTTGTTTTCTTTTGTTGCTTTGTTTTGCTGTCTTATTTTTTGTATGCATATTATTATCTCTGCAGGTCTATCTAGATAAGATAGGCGGGATAAACAATCTGGAGGAGAAAACAATGGGATTGATGGTTCCAGGGGGACATGGGAAAGGGGGAGGCATGGGGAAGAAAAGGGGTGTTAAGAAACCCAGGGACAAGAGAACAACAAGTGATCTAACATCAATGGCAATGAGGGAGCAGAAGGCCGGATAGGGTTTGATCAAGGGCAATGTAACCGAGAGGAATTAATGAAACCCAAATGAAGGTCCATGATGGTGGGACAAGAGGAAAGCAAAAGGAAATAGAGGCAAGAACTAGGAGGCAAAGGACATTTATAGAGGTTTAAATACAGGTATGTACATATGTAAATTATTTATATTTGATAATGGGGCAATAGATCTATGTACATATATTTATAGGTTTAGAATTAAGGTCGCAGGTGGACATTGGACCTCTATCAAGTACTCCTTCAATGCAAGAATATTTTGTTCTATTAACCTGGCATTCCATGATGCTCACCTTCCTGACATGATCACTGAAGACAAAATGGGTGCATAAGCAAATGTGGTGAAGAAAGCTGGTGGTGGCCGGCTATCAAAAGATGTATCATCTGGGGTCTTAAAAGCGTGAAGATAAAAAACGGCCATCTAGCTGAGAAGCAACAAAGCCCACATGGAAGAAGCACACCAGCCTGTGTGGTCATGAGGTATCGATAGGATCAGGTATCAGGCATCAAAGAACAAAAAATCATAACATTGTGAATGAGGGGGAGTGCGGAATGGAGACTCAACACCCATCTGTAGACAGTTGGACATCCCCTTACAGAAGGGTCACAGGTAGAAGATGAGCCAGTCAGGGTGCAGTGTAGCACTGATGAAATATACAACTTTCCTCTAGTTCTTTAATGCTTCTCCCTCCTCCCCCACTATCACTATCCCAATTCTACCTTAGAAATCCGGCTAGACCAGAGGATATAAGCTGGTACAGATAAGAGCTGGAGGCACAGGGAATCTGGGACAGATAAACCCCTCAGGGCCAATAATGAGAGTCGTGATACCGTAAAGGTGGGGGGAGAAAGGGGGAACTGATCACTAGGATCTACATATAACCCCTCCCTGGTGGATGGACAGCAGACAAGTGGGTTTAGGGAGACATTGGACAGAGTAAGACATGAAAAAAAATTATAAATTGTGAGGAAGGGAGGGTGGGGGGCGGGAATTAGAAGCTGGTACCATAGGTTCAAGTAAAAAGAAAATGCTTTGAAAATGATTTTTTGAAAATGTTTTGAGAATGATGATGGCAACACATGTACAGATGTGCTTGACACAATGGATGTAGGTATGGATTGTGATAAAAGCTGTATGAGGCCCCGATAAAATGATTTAAAAAAAAAACAAGAAAAACAAGCAAAGCTAACAATAACAAAATAAAGTAGAGAAAAACCTCAATTGAGAAGAAAGAAAAATTAAAAAGTAGAACAACTTTAACAGGGAGATCAAATGATAAAGTATTAATTTTTAACCGAACTACATCTGCTGTACTCTGATTTCTAATGCACTGTGCATGATAGCAAGGCGATTCACTGGAGGTGATTCACTGGAGGCTGAACCCATGTGTATTTCCCCTTCACTTTTTAATTTTTAAAAATTGATACATATTTTAAGTGGATCAAAAGGGGGATCAAATAAGATGCTACATTTTAACCTAACTCTATAGACTATGGGGTCCTGGTGGCAGAGTGGTTACAAGTGGGGCTGGGATCCCCAAGGTTGGCAGTTTGAGACTACCAGCTGGTCCTCAGGAGAAAGACAGGAATTTCCATTCCCTTTAAAAGTGGCAGTCTAAGAGACTCACAGGGGCAGTTCTACCCTGTCCTATGGGTCGCTATGAGTCAGCATCATCACTGACTCAATGGTAGTGAGTCATCTCTCTTAACAAGGCTATTCACATCCCTCACTTAGGTTCAGAGGAGACTGACCAGAGGCTTTATCTATGGGTGGACCCTGCACATGGATGTTAGGCTTCTACTGTCATTCATAGCCTTCTGCAAACTGGGTCTTCACAGTTTGATACTCTGAAACCACTCCCTCCTTTGGATTTGGAACATATTATTTACAATCCTTGGGTCACACAGGCTAGTGTGCTTCTTCCATGTGACTTAGTTGACAGCTCCCTGAGATGGGTGCTTATTTCAAAACAAACCTTTAAGACCCTCTTTCTGATAGCCAGGCACCTTCTAGTTTCTTCACCACACATTGCTATAGCACGCATATCTTCAGTGATCTCTTCATGAGGGAATGCTAACTTTCTTTGCTTACAAATAAATCATTTACCAAGTAACAGTGTGTATTGGGCCCATAGGCAGCAACATCCAACCTCATGTATCGAATGTTTCTTGAATGCTGTCTCTTTTAATTTTCTTTTTAAAGAATAAATACTTTTATTGGGGGCTCTTACATCTCTAATCACAATCCATACATTCATCCAGTGTGTCAAGCCCATTTGCACATATGCTACCATCATCATTTTCAAAGCATTCTCTTTGCACTTGAGCCCCTGATATCAACTCCCCATTTCTTCCCCCTCCCCCTGTGCCTCACAAACCCTTGATAAGTTTTAGATTATTATTTTCATAGCTTACATCGTCCTCTGTCACCCCTCACCCACTTTTCCATTGTTCGTCCCCCTGGGAAGGAGTGATAGGTTGATCCTTGTGACCGATTCCCCCTTTCTCTTTAGTCAATATTACC